CAGAAGGTCGGAGAGCTGTGAGGGGATGTTGATTCCCTCACATGGCCCACGGCCACGCGATCGGCCAAGAACTTGGCAATCGCAAGTACATGTTTAATAGGCAGTGTCCACTGCTTCATGATAAAAAAATTCGAGACCGGTTTGAGTTCGATCTCGTGTCAAGGGCCATTATCATTAGACAACTCGCAAGGCAAGGATATAAAGAATACATCCTAGAATTCGATCAAATCCTTATTCACAGGATTCGCCTGAAGCGACTTCCAGGCTTAAGACATGCATCGTTAAATACGGGTATTTTAATCGAGGACACTTTCGTCCATCGATGATCTGATGAAAAACCGTTCGCTCTCAGCAAATACTGTTGCCTACCAAATATCGGCAACTTAATCGTCATTTCGGCGAGTAAACAAATCTGCCGAACGTTGACATTCGGCAGATCACGTTGTACCAGTTTCGGTATGAGCGTTGGCAAATGAGTCATCCCCGAAGTTAACGTCGGAGGCGCAATCCGATCAAGCGTACAAGAGCATACGTTTAACTCCGTCATTGATCAAGACGTTCGATGTCTCGGTTTCTTCCTGGAAATTTGTTTCCACAGGTAGCTTAGAGATCATCCGCACAGGCGGCTGAGAGCCTAATATCTTATCGCGTAACGTATGAGAAATTCATTCCTCAAGTACTTAATGACTTGTTCCCTCGACTTCTTCTTTCGGAGCTGCGCAACCACTATCAGGTACCGGTCCTCTATAGTCGACTCTTCATTCGACCTAGAATGACTGTGTTACCTTTTCTGGACAACTAGTTTATTCTTCCTAGGATGTTTCTCGCCAGGCATGCATCCATGTCCCGGTCCGAACGACTTATTCGAGTGGTGGACCCTCGTTCCTGCCTGTACATCTGTTCAGCCACAGGGAGATTTCTCAACTGTGTAGTAATCATCTACAATAAGGGATATTGTGCAGTCGCGATATCGACCGTACCACAAGTAAGACCATCGCACGCACTCGCTGTACATCCGCACGCTTAGCGACGCTCTAAGGCGTTCATTGGACGTCCACCTGATGAACAAACGGCAGGCACCTTGACGAATCGATGCTGCCGGCTCACACTAAGCTCGTACCTTCTGATCTAGTAAATCCCAAGATGACATCAAATAAGTCATCCAGATACAGTACGATGAAGTCGTCGTCGTACCGATCGTATTCTAACATGTAGTGAATTCGACTACACGTTTCTTCACAATGATCGAGGCGCCTGTGGCAAGGCGCACCGTCATCCTCGTTGATTGAATATTACGCTCAACAAACTTGAGCCTACGATTCTCTAGTGACTAGCGACGAATAAAGTTGTTCGACTCCCCACAGTCAACTAGATCACGGGGTGGCAAATCTTTTGTCACTTGCAACTTCAAGATGATAGGTGATATCTCGTCATCAGGTGCAGAGGTACACAACGACTGAATGTCTGTAGCAACTTTCGTCAACAGATTTGCAAATTCTCTTGAGGTTGCTGGATCAGTATAACGCTGTGCCCTTACTGACCCGACCATATATTATGGTCCGCTTCACTGATGCGGCTTCGCAACATCGTTGGTCCTACTCCCATTTTTCTTTTGGCAAATGGCCGATCATTTCGCTCAGTAGTGTTTGGTAATGGCCGTGGATCACTACACTCATAAGCGTAGTATCCCGAATTCTAACAACGATTGCACTTCTGCAATCGCTCATAACATAACAGATGGCCATTCATTCGGGACCTCGGCTGTCCTGTCGTCTCGTTGTACGTTAGGTAGTATAATTAGTTTGAACCTGTCTCAAACTAAATGCTTTCTGCTCCTTTACTGCGATCGCTTGATCTATTCGATTAAATTTTATACGGAACAGGTGGGTCTCGAAGGGTCCGTCAACTATGCCCTGGATGAACACAGTGATTTTCGCGTGTTCATCTATCCGGTTGGCAGTTATGCAACTCGAGAGGTACCGGATGTGCTGCGAGTAAGCGTGCACATCCTGTTTACCCTGTCTGAGTTTCAAAACTCAGCACGAGACCGGAAAGAAGCTATTGACGGCTCAAAAATTTGTCGGAGTCGAAACTTGAAGATGTCCAACGACCCATATAAATATGGGTCGTGGAGCTTAAGCCATAAGGCCCAAGTCTGCGCACGTCCAGCCAAGTTGTACTGGGCGAATGCAGCTTGTATTTCGTCGTCGACAAGGCGACGAGCCCTTATGGAATCGTCAAACTCGACCAGCCGTCTCAACAGAGAGTCTTACTCGACCCCCCTGAACTTGGAGATATCAACCTTCAAGATTTCGGGACGACGCGTGTATGTCGTCTCACCCACAGCATCATTGAATCGCTGCTGTCTCAACAGCTCTGTCTGTTGAGCACCGAGTTCTCATAACTGCTCGGCCTGAGAGCCTTGCTGGTGAAGAAAGGCTACTTTCTTTCTTTTGGCTTTTTTAATGAACCTAGCTATAGCGGCATGTTGTTGGTCTCTGTGAAAGACTCTAACACGGCGCTAACGGCGGTTTTGCCGACGGTAGAACTCATAGGTTCTACCGTTCTCCTTTTGATGTCACTTACATGGATAAAGGTTCGCGCGTAACGTGAAAGCTTTCCTCTTCATCCAACATGTTCATGGTAAATAAGGTGGTTGTGGTCGTTAAACGGACTACAAAGTCCTATCAGGTGTAAGGGGACACGCTCTTACCAGATAACTGGTAAGACCTTGTGTTGATCTAACGCAAGGCTGCGTGCCCCGGACGTCGCGTACACGTAGCGTGAGGAAGTGCGAGGAAGTATACAGAACTAGAAAGCTCTGTTTAGGGAAAAGTAGAACTGTATTTAACATAGTTAAGTTTCCCAATTGACCATCTTAGTCGTAATCTAACTATATTAAACCACAATCTCCTATGTGGGTTTCTTGCTCGACACCCGCTACGCGATTCCAGCAGCGATTGGTGGTTCATTTAGTTGATGTAGCGTTTACATCAAGCAATAAGTGGAGGACCAAAGAATACACGCCTTGGGGGTAATATTCTGCCAACATTACCTCTTCTCGGGCAATGTTTTTAATTGAATAGTATCGAAGTAGATTATATGCAAAATTGATACATTCCTGTAAACTTTATGTAACGAGCTCACCCCGTCACAGCAGTGCCCAACGCGCCAAGGTGTTCAACGTTATTGATATCCTCACTGTTGCTTGCACGGACTTCTTCACTAGTTCTTAACTTGCTATCCGCCAGTAAACGTTTTCGGTCACAAGAATGGACGGCAACAAATGAATCACTGCATGTTGTCTCACTTTGTCTCACCCCATGAGCCGCAGCAATGCATTGCGAGCGAGCTGCGATAGTTGCACAAACGCAGTCGCTGTTCGAGAAATGTGACACGATGGTACAACAAAGCTTGTCTAGCACTTGCTGGGCTCTACATCAACTATCCTCAGTAAGACATGTTAGAATTATCGTCCACACATGGGGCCACATCCTGCTCGACGTAATGGTCTGTACTTCAGCCCTGACGCCTTGCTACAAGAAGGAGGAGAGAAGTCATGGCATTGGTCATTCGCATAGGTTCTCGCAAAGCTTCGAGTGTCAACTCTCTCCGAGCAAGCTAGCTTTGCCACCAAAATTTCGTCAGGACAGTCTTTGTCGGTACAACGCCAGCGAAAACGCCGGACTGGCGCTAGAGATAATTTGATGCTGACTGCCCATCTGTTCAAACATAACGTGGACATACCCGCTCTTGCTTCGATGGGCCGAACGACGGCAACAAGTGCGTCTGCAACTGTGTGAGCCAACTATTGGCCAAACGCGTTGGGTTCACACTCTCCTCACTCATCATCTTGACGGTAGGTACACAACGAACACACACGCGTCGTCCACACGTGATTGTCAGTGTGTCGAGCGGATGACACGTTCGTGTCTCAAACAGCTGTCGTGGGTGGGTTGTAAGATAGGCAATCGAAGCTTTTCTTGGCTGCTTCTTCTAGCTTGAAGCAGCCAGCTGCCGGTCTACGTTTCCGGCTTCTAGGACCAATTTGCACGATTGCAACGTACCTTTCGGGAAGCGCCTCATTTTCATGTGCAGGACTCATCCTGATGTCATGTTTGACGATATCAATGCACTTACAAGCGGATTGTTTTTTGGAGGACTGTGTGCTCGATTGCCGAATGCACAAGCCGCGTGTGTCACAGAGGCAACATCAAGTAGCGCCACGCTTTGCGACACCAAGCTACGTCGTGCACTATCGATGTAAGCAGTAGGATTTTACAACACAGCTTTTCTGCAAGTCGCAGCTCCTATTGTCGTCGTCAAGCGGGAACGACTCAACGATTGCCCAAACCAAAGCGCTGCGAACGATGTGAATTTCTGGAAAGTCGCACAACATGCGAAACTTTTCCCGCTGGAACGAGCCGATCCGGACGAGTTAGCAAAGAGGCACGGCATCTTCGGTCATGGGGAAAGCGGTTCATTCAACAATTTCGACTTGGGACATTCTCCATCGACTTCCATTTCGTTTGGCGATTGCCCGTAATACTGCTGTGGAAGCGGTGATGTTCACGCGCGCTCAAATGAACGGACCCTATGAGTGGCGACGACACCTGTCGGCAACTTCGTGACACGAATCAAATGTCACTTGTTTCGTGGGCGCTCGTGGCCGACGGATGTTTATGCGTACCGTTACACATGGGAACCTCGATGATGCCAAAAGGACATGCTTCCTCGGCTCCATGTGGCCCAGCCCGATGGTCGACGCCACCACTTCAAGCAGACGACCATGGGACGGACAGGGTGAGGTCTTCCCGGCAACAAGTACTTTCAGAGTTTTGGTTCTCCAAAGACGGACGGATGTCAAGTCACTCGCCTACCACGCGCTCGAAGACCTCACTCCAACTCTCTCATTTCCCAACTTGTATCTCACCTGCCACTTCGTGCCTACAAAGCTGCCCCTGACCCTCGCCAAGCGACTGTCCCCAACGTCTGGATCAATGACCAAGTGCTTCGGTCTCCTTGTGCTAGCGCTCACCGTGTTTGCTGGCAGCAACGCCCATTCGATTCGAGCAGCTGGAAACGCCGCCGAGCTGCTGACGCCGAGTCGAACGTCCGGTCCTCCAGGTGGACCGAAGAGCAAGCGCAGCGATCCGGACCGCGACGTGCCGATCAATGCCGCTGGTGAAGACAGGAATGGGTCATTGCTTAAACCATTCGCGGGAAAATTTGCTAGTGCTCGGCAAGTGAGCTCCGGTAGAAATCCGGACAGCTTCGTGGAGAAGGCATTGGCGCATATGGACAGGACGCTCCAACGCAAAATGGAGAATCAATTGACGGCAAGTACGAAGAGCAAGGGCTCGGAGCTGCAGAAGCGTACATCACACGCAATGGCGCAAGTAGAGAAAGCAGAGGCGCAGCTGAAAAGGGCAAAGGCTAATGTCGCTGATGACACAAACAAGCGAGTGATTGGCGCATCCATTCAATTGGAGAAGGCTGAGACGACGCTGAAATCGGCAAAGGCAAAGCTGATAAAGGCACAGCTTCAGCTTGATGATCACATGGACAAGGACTCGATTCGCAAGGCCATTGAAGCGAGGAAAGCAGATGCAAAGCTGAACTAGGCGGATGCTTAGTTTGCTCATGACACGCTCGAGGAAACGACTCGCGCGGGTGTGGCATCAAGACAACGCGCGGAGGGCACAGTCGAAGAAGCTGCTGTACATGCACTGAAGAAAGAGAAGATCAACTCGTTGGAGCATCTAAGATTGAATTCCGATTCGAAGCAGATCGGCAGCGAGCTGTATCATTGGGGCGCGCTGCGGCGGATTGAATGGCAGTGGCGGAGAACGAAATCAATCGTTGTGTGTAGTTGTTCGACTCGATGCGGGGTGCTGCTGCTTAATACCGGCGATGAAATGAAGAATCAGCTGACGAATATTTGAGCGGGAAATTTTCTCGTGACTTGACGGCGTTGCATTGATCGCATTCGTCCGGACCCTTCGAAGGGCGCCCGGCAGGACATCTTGGAAGCGTAGACTCGTTGAACAACATAAGCTTTGAATACATTGTTTCACTTTGATACTGAAGTTGGTTCGTAATTGCATTTGCTCAAGCGAATTGTCAGCGAATCGGTTCATTCATCGTGACTATCAATGTGTTGAGGAGTGTGTGAAAGGGTCAGATTGTAATGACACAGCAGCGGGTACAGCTCTTCGTGCAGGAGCAAAGCACGTGGATAGATGGGAGGTCACACAAGGCCATGACATTACCACGAGCAGCTCGTCGATCAACAGAAAGCTGAATGCAAATGACTGCCATTGTTGGCGGCACTGACACCTTCAGATGCACCCATTTGTCCTACTTGGTATCTCACTAGTAGACCGGTAGACTCCAGCGATGGCTTGTGACATCACCATCGTGCAACTCTACTTTACCCCACTCCCCATAACTCAGTCTATAAGTCTGCAACGAGCGACCTCGCAACGCTGTGCGTTCCGTCAAGCAGTCGGTACTGTTCAAGCAAAACCTAAGTTTGTATCTACATGACGTGTGCAAATGATTTACGTCACAAGTCACTCCGTCTCGTCTTCTCCGTCGACTTCCGTGGTTATATTTCGCGGTGCAACTTCGAGACAATGCAAGCATAGACATGACAACGTAAGTCGTGCTTCATTCTTTGTCTCACAATCATGAGATCGCCAATGCTTTGTGTTTGCCGGCAGACGACAGCAACGCACTCAGCAGAGGACGACTTTCACGTCAGGAGAAGGTCGGTGGAAGATCGCAGGAGGTGGGTGCTGTAACAGCTGGGGTCATGATGACATTGACGTTTGACCACATGCCCCACTGTGGAATCGTATCTCAGCGGGCAACACTTCACAAATTCATGTAGGCGAATGCTCTTCAGCGACTTTGCCGTAGACGACAATATGGAGAGCTGGTCGTGATGGTACGGACGATGAGGTGTCGGAAGTGCGGACCTTTGCTGCTCCAAAGCGTCGAGCGTTTGTTGGTTGGCGCTGTTCGCTTTTTCTTTCTTTTCGATTAGTCACGTGCGGTGCAGACGCGTGGGCGGTTGCAATGAGTGACCGAAGACAAGACCAGTGCGCAACTCTACTTGTGAAAAAAGCCCCTGTCACGTCTTACCCAACAGACCGTTGTGAAGCTGTCCCTGCGTGTGGCTTCCAGACATTCGCGCACATAAACATAAAGAAAGCTACTGACGACAGGTTTGGCCATCATCTCGTGCCGCACACTCCCTCATAGCTTGGCCACTGGAGCTCGCAATCACGTACAATGATCGAAATGTACACCGCCAGGCGACAAACAGTTAGACAAGGCCAGCGACCCCGTCGACCCTATTGTAAAGAGAAAGCTGCGTCGTAAACGCATCGAACAACGATAGCTGTCCATGCGTGTGGCTGGCGGCTGTGTGGGTCAAAGTGGAATACGATGCGCTTCGTTCAAGCCAATAGGTGTGTGCAGAACAGAGTAGTAGGAAAGGCGAGCGCTCTACTCGGATTCGGCCTCCAATGGCGGTCATGACTATCACGTGATGTTCGGTCGTCAGTGGCGGCCGCGACTTCGAGCTCGACAGACAGTGTGTCGATTGCACACCGTACCGAGCCAAATGCAGCGCTCTGCGTCACCAAATCGGTTGACATCTGAACTTCTCATGCTGCTCCGAGCCGAACATCATTTTACATTGCGTAGAGCTGCCAGTGTTTGTTTCGGCAAATGTGCCGATCCGCCTACAGCTACCGCAGCTGCTTAGAGCATCCGCAATGGCCCAGCAGACATCACGCAGAGAGCCGATACGAAGGCTCACCACTTGCGAGTCACGGATGCACACCGTCAGTAATTCATTCATGCATTCATTCGTGTACGATTCAATCAGTAGGGACCGCAGGCGCTCATCAACCGATGGTGCTTCACGAAGACGTCGTAGCACGCTCTAAAACACGAGCAAGGCCGTGGCAGCAACGGTGGCCCCCACCGACACGACGACCGCAGCGATCGAAGCAGTGGCGATGGCACCGCTGCTACTTTCTAGCGCAGCATCGGCCGTCGCGATTCCGCTGCTCTCGGCGTTGGACGGTTTCCGCTTCTCGCCAACTGCAGTGCTCGGGGAGAGGTGCTCATAGCTGTTGGCCTTCACGCCGTTGCACACCGGCTGCGTGATGGTGCACTCGAGAATCGGAACTGCAACAAGTACGTACAAACAAGATCGACAACACGCGTTAGCTCGTCACGACGACCAGGATGCAGTGCAGAGATGCTTGTGTCGAGGGAACGGACAAGCGGGTGAAGGTCCGAGTGAACTACTACACTCACCCTTGGGCATAGGCGGCAACTCGCTCGAGATGTTCTTCGGACACGACAGAATCGTGTCACGCGTCGGTGTGAAGCTGTCGTGCACGAGGGCCGAGCTCTTGGTAGTCGTGTACGCCTCCTTGAGATACTCATACTCCGGGTACGGAGTGAACACGCACAGAGTCTTGTTGTTGTCGCAGTCGTCCGGCTGGAAGTAGCCGACGCCGTACTTGCCTGCGTCGCCAGTCTTGACCAGCGCTGCAATCACACAAACAGCATCGACAATGAGTGCCAAGTGTCCAATCGGCCACATCCTGTCACGAACGGCGCTGCAAAAGCGTACTCTTGGTCTCGACGAGGTTGGCAATTTCTGTGGTGAACTCAAACACGTTGCCACCGACGATCTCGTCCATCATCTCCTTCTCCGTGTTCATCCACTTGGCCTGCACACACGCAACAACATCGCGGTCAGCTCGACTGCCTCTTCCATTTGCTCGTTGCAATAGCCTCTCCTCCTCATTCTTCCTTCGCTCCTTACATCGTAGAACGTGCGCTGGTTCTCGTAGCCGTCAATGGTGTTCACGCCCTTGTTGCAGCCGAACTCGCCAAACATGAGCGGACGAGAGTAGCCGACCTTCGCGTACTCCGCCATGATTTTCTGCAACCCGGAGGACTGCGAGTACTTGACGTGGGTCGTCGGATCGCATTCGACGTACGGGTTGAAGCCCATCCTGTTCAAGCAGCCACCAACACGTCAACACACAGTCGTGTGAGCAACCAGCTCTCAACTGCCAGCGACGCGACCCAACCACCCAGCCAGGCAGCCACGGTGGTTGCCACCCCTATCACTACTGCCAACCACCATACACACACACACACAAGTGCCATCACATGCACGCGCGTCCTACCATTCCGCCCGCGTGTTCTCGTCGTCGTCGACCGCACAATCGTAGTACGCCATCCACTGCTCGCGAGGCGGAATGTCGGCAATGTCGAGGCCAATGGGCACCTGCCGCACCGAGCCCGAGCAACTCGCAGCGTAACTGCGAGTGTCCCGCAAGAAAGCCTTGACACAGGGCGCCGTGGCCGTACCATCGGCGCCATTCTCCGTCTGCAGGTTGTTCTCGTTGCCGACACTGAAGCCCAAAGTGTTGTCATACACTGCAAACGCGTTGTACACCATCTGCGCACGCGTGAACAGGTCTTCCGGATAGCACTTGGGCGGCAGGTAGTCCAGCACGGAGCAGTTTTCACACCTGGCAAGGAACACAGCACAATCCGTCAGTCAAGTCTCAGTCAGTCAAGTCTCGAGCGTCCGGACGGGTCGAGCGATACATAGGTGAATAAATCCACTGTCCACAGTCAACGAACACTGGTGACAGAAGTCCTTGCAGCAGAAGGGAGAAAGCGACGTGACAGGCAGACAGTAGACAGATAGACAGATAGACAGACAGATAGACAGACAGGTAGTGCTTCTACTCACGGTGCAGTGATGCCGACCAGCACGTAAATGCCTGCTTCCGAGCACGCACACATGAACTTGTCGTGCGAGGTGCCCGGGTCGATCGAGTAGAGCCGAATCGTGTTGACGCCGAGGTCCTTGAGCACTTCCAAGTGCGGCTGCCACACGTCCTCGTGCTTATCGGCTGCCCAGTCGTAGTTGCCCACGGTGGCCATGCGGCCGTCGTTCGGACGAGGGTAGTAGGCCATGCCTTTCATCCGGAATTCCACACCCGTCTTGGAATCGAACAACTTGTTGCCTTTCGTGACGATCGGCGCCAGCCACGCATCAGCTGTGGGCACTATTGACACTGCAGTGCAGAGCACCGCGAGAGCACAGAGGCCGCGGACACGGGAACCAAAGGCCATCTTGCAGAGATGTGTTCGGCTTTGTTTGGAGAGAGGGGAAATGCGTTTCGACCACTTTGACGTGCTCGTGTTTCGTGGAATCTTCATCGTCGTCGTCGTCGTCGTCGTCGGGGAAGGGACTGGCAGGCGAAGACAGCAAACACTCGACCACATCAAACCGACATGATGTCACACATGCGATACGTGATCAAGCGAATGCTACCTCCTCTCATACATCGGGATGTCTTCGCCAGCGCACTGATCGCAGCTTACATATGCAGTGGCCTTGTAGCGTGCTATGTGTTGTCATTCTCCACAGGCCGCTGCAATTACAAACGCAAGGGTTGTCTACTGCGATACCCAGAGCAGACACACTCGTTTGGACGGTAGTGGCTACTGAAGTGTACGCGCACATCAATTGTCCGCCATGTTCGCGTACCTGCTATCTGCCGCCTTGCAAATGCGTTGAAGCGCTTTGTGCGAAGCATCCACTCTGCTGGTAAACTTTCAGCTCGAAGCGCCAGCCACGCTTCAGGGACTTACCCGCACCTGTAACTCCTTTTCGTACTGTACCTGCTGCTTGGCAACTAAACTAATCCGCATAAGATCCGTGAACTATGCGCTCGATAGCACATTCAGTCCAGAAGACGATCACAAGACCGCGGCAGTGTCAAGTGAAACACGCATCGATACAAAGCTGCTTGTGCCGACGGCCCTGGGCTATGCACGTGCTGTCACATCTTTAGAGAGAGAGAGATTCATGACTGTCTATTGCACATGATGGTTACGCGCTAGAAGTCTGAAATCTTCTAAGCCTAGAATACAGCGCCGGTCGCGGCGGTGGATCAAGGCACCTCTCTAGTGGTAGCGAAACTCCGCTAGCCTCAAGAGTAAAAAGTTCAAGGGAGGCATGTAAACGAGCCCCTCGAAGAACTGTCGACGCCCCTCTATGCTCACGCATAGCCAAGGCCGTTAATTGACGGACGCCGGTTGTCCAGAAATGGACGACACTTTGAGCCGTCGTAGACTGCACGCCTCTGAACACGGCATCGTTGCGCTCGCTCCATAAATGCGTAATGCAAACGGAACACATTAAAAACCAAATCCGTCGCCACACCTTTTCCCCCGCTGCGGCATCATCGTGAAACCGCTCGAGCAACCGAGACCGCTGAAACGCCGGGATCGCCGGAGCCTGTCGATTCGCACAGTTGCTGAGACAACTATGGACTACCGCACTCGACACAGAAGCGCCGATCCAATGGCTGATGAACTTAGCCCAGCACGCCCGCGCCTTTGCTGTCACATCTTTAGTCCATGCAGCACGCCGTGTGTCGTGCGTTGCATTGTTGCCTGACGTAAAAGTATGATTGGCCTGTGACACGCAACAAGTGGTGAGCTTGCCGATTGGAACCGCCGCGAGGAGGGAAGACGACAGACACGAAAAAGGCTTTCGCCTTTACTGGGAACAGCAATGCGCTCCTTTTGATACCGGGAGCTACGTTATTCTAGCCGTCCCGCGCAAGTGGGTTGATGCATCGTAAACATCCATCAGACGTTTTCCTGCTCGTTCGCTGAAAAGGGATCGATGGCTTGTAAGGGTAACGATGGCTCAGGTCTCGATGCATGACCCGACAATTGGTCAAAGACGGAACCGCCTCGTCCACGACGGCAGTAGAGAAAAGGTTTGTCTCGTGACTGTCGGTTTTGATATCGGGATATGCGTAACTTTCGAGTTGAGGCTCAAGAGCAACAAAAAAGGCCAAGCGGCAGAACCTCCTGAGAGGCAGTCTCTTGTCCTCTCGACCTGGAATGGAAGTCCTCCACGCTAGGTCAAAGGCCATGTGAGAAGAGGTTTTCTTCCCACTACGTGCGCCACGGAGGCAGCGCAGCATGCGAATCACAACGGGAGCAATAAGCATCACGAGGTATCAGGCACGTCGACAAAGCATCAACCGCCCTACACTCCACTCCAGGAACAAGTTCCTGCCCTTCGCTTCCTCGTCGCTGGTTTATCCGCCCGGCGCGCATCCTGTCCTACCACGGTAACCCATTTAGAACACGATGCTGCTGATCCGATCCAGCATCGGACATGCATGCTGCGGATAAGTCAATGTCGCACTAGTGGATGGGATAGCGGGAACAGGACCCATCCTCCCTTTGTAAGACGTTTCCTGCCTCCTGTATGCGCCCAAGGGCAGACCAGCGGTCACATGTGCCTTTCGTGAAGCGTGGCGTTTTGCGCGAGCAGAACGTGCCAGTGAATAGGCAACGGCGTAGTCCTGACAGAAGGCCAGGCGTTTCTTTCTTGCTGCTAACTCTTGGATACCAATGTATGAATCCCTGACAGACACTGCAGTCTAATCTCTCGCTCATAGGTAGCTTTGTGCGAGGTGTCGGGAAGCTAAAGAGTCACGGCATCAGCGATGGAACCGAAGAGGTATCGTGGCGGGTGTCGAGGCGATCGAGGAAGGTGTACAGCAGCATTCAAACGATCCTACCCCAGCTCAGTGCGAGTCTGTCTTTCAAGCACCCAAGGTGCAGTGCTGCCCGGTGCAGTCGAGGAAAGAAAAGGCACCGGACGCACGCAGCCTCAACGAGTGAGCGACTGCGTGCGTCGTCTGCCTCCTACCGGTGAGCGCGTCGCCAAACGTAGCAGCGCAGAGCGTAAGAACGCGCCGCTCTCAACGATAGCGGGTCCCGAGGTCACACTCGATGCGATCCGTCGCTGAGGTAGTACGTGGTCACCGAAGCGCTGACACAAGACACGCCACTAGTCTAAGTATTTCCATGCAACCAGCTGGTCAGCGCACAACCAGAAGCGTCGCAAGCGGCGAGCTCGAGGCAAACTTCCTCTCGTCCGGCTCCCGCAAATAGAGGAAGGGGACGGCTACCCGAGCCACAGAACGGAGGCGACGAGTGTTTGCGCTGGGCGGTAGAAATGCGGGAAGTGCCAACGTGAGCAAATGAGTCAGCTCAGTCGCCATCGTTGCAGCACTTGTCGTGCGCTTGTCAAAGGACAACCGGAGCCAAAGTGTAGAAATGTCAGCACGTTGTGAACTCGCGTGCGCGCGTGTGTGTCTCTCTCTATATGCGCGACTCTGAAACCTGCAGCTACGGCACACGCACTGCGGTGTGCGTATCGTCGTCCGTCTCGCAGACTCACGTTGTAGACAACGACAACGGACGTCGTTCGTCTGCTACACACGTACTCCCTCCGTCCCTTGCACGGCAGCTTGGTCGCGAGCACTTTGACCACAACACAACCACCTGACTGCCTCCGTGACTATGACTCGTCCTGCGGAAAGAGTGAGTCTCTTGTCACGAACCACAAATATCGGGCACCGACCGCCCAGCGAAACGCTTCCTAGCGACAGTCGCAGGCAGTCCGTTCACATTGTGCCGTCTCGGGCCTCTGCAAAGCAGTTTCCGGCCGCTGATTCGGACAAGAGACAAACTACCCCCAGCGACTCGACTTGTCCTTCCTCGTGGTCGTTCCCTCGTGGAAAAGCGACACCGCGTCAAATCGCGCGCTCGCTCGCGCTTTCTCTCTCTCTCTGCATCACGTCGCATCAGCTGTTGCGTGGCGGTAGAAGCGGGTGGTCCGATCACGAGGCCTCGTGCCTACTGACTGACCCCAAGACCCCACGGCGCACGCGCGTGGTACGACCGCAGCGCTCTTTTGTGTCAACGGCCCATTTCGCTGCGTGACGTCGAACCGGACGCTGTCGCACTTGAACGCGATAAAACACGCAGGCGGTTGTTCATCGCCGAGAAAAGACGTGCAGTGCGGTTCAGTGTCGGTGGCGACCTCGCGACAATTGGACGCTCGGGTCTGTCGTACGTCTCTGTCGACCACCGACGCGTCTATGGCGCACAGCTGTTGTCGCGCCACGAAACGTCGCACGTCGATCAACTGATTCCTTCTCCTCGCGGTGCGAAAAACGGTCCCCCGACAACGGACAACGGAGCGGAATATCCAGCGACATGTCATCCTATCGACCGGCCGACCGACCGACCGACCGCCCGACGGTGACGACTGACTGACTGACTGACTGACTGACTGACTGACTGACTGACTGACTGACTGACTGACTGACTGACTGACCGATCTCGGAGCTCTCTATCGGCAGACAAAAACGCAAACGGTCATTCTCTGACTTCCTCCTCAGTGCTCACCCACACGGAGCGACTGACTTTCTAATTTTGTTGACCGACGCCGTCTCCCCATCGCCCGCCCGTCGTCGTCCTCTCTCTCCAAACAAAGCCAAACACACCTCTGCAAGATGGCCTTTGGTTCCCGTGTCCGCGGCCTCTGTGCTCTCGCGGTGCTCTGCACTGCAGTGTCGATAGTGCCCACAGCTGATGCGTGGCTGGCGCCGATCGTCACGAAAGGCAACAAGTTGTTCGATTCCAAGACGGGTGTGGAATTCCGGATGAAAGGCATGGCCTACTACCCTCGTCCGAACGACGGCCGCATGGCCACCGTGGGCAACTACGACTGGGCAGCCGATAAGCACGAGGACGTGTGGCAGCCGCACTTGGAAGTGCTCAAAGACCTCGGCGTCAACACGATTCGGCTCTACTCGATCGACCCGGGCACCTCGCACGACAAGTTCATGTGTGCGTGCTCGGAAGCAGGCATTTACGTGCTGGTCGGCATCACTGCACCGTGAGTAGAAGCACTACCTGTCTGTCTATTTGCTGTCTGTCTATCTGTCTGCCTGTCTGCCTGTCACGTCGCTTTCTCCCTTCTGCTGCAAGGACTTCTGTCACCAGTGTTCGTTGACTGTGGACAGTGGATTTATTCACCTATGTATCGCTCGACCCGTCCGGACGCTCGAGACTTGACTGACTGAGACTGACTGACGGATTGTGCTGTGTTCCTTGCCAGGTGTGAAAACTGCTCCGTGCTGGACTACCTGCCGCCCAAGTGCTATCCGGAAGACCTGTTCACGCGTGCGCAGATGGTGTACAACGCGTTTGCAGTGTATGACAACACTTTGGGCTTCAGTGTCGGCAAC